AGGGGAGGACCTAATGTGAAGGGGGGCAGGGGAGACTCTAATGTGAAGGGGGGCTGGGGAGGATCTAATGTGCTCAGAGGGAAATGGAGCTTCTAATGTGAAGAGGGAGGACTTCATTTTAGACTGGTGTGCCTCAAGATTTTGCATACTTTTAAACAGTGCTGTGACTTGAAAAAGGTTGAGATACATTGGTTTATGCAAAGCAAGCAGCATACATGTGCTGTTGCCATGTGAATTTTGGCTTACACAAGAAAAAAAGCCTACCACATCGCTTCAAACCCTTACTGAGAGAGTTAACTTAAATTGCAAAGTGGCTCAGATAACAATGTTTTAATCACATATAGGCATGTTGCTATATGGATTCCTTTAAAAGTTAACAAAATGTTACCAAAAAGAATATATGAGGATAATTGGGTGCAATTCCTTTATACCACTATATATGGGGGCTGAGTTTGGCAATACATTATGAAAGAATTTTAATCTCCATGTTTATCACCTTCAACCAGAGTTCTGTAAAGTAAAAAATGCATGTCAAAACAGTCAGATTAGGAGATAAAGGGAGCGTAATGTAAATATAAAGTATTCTTGTAGAAATGGAATTTGGCTTGCACTGTCCTGAATCCTCGTCTCCATTTGTCATTATTCATGACAGGAAGCCTATAAGGAGGCTCAGAAGGTAGAAGTGACCAGGGCCAGGCTTGATATGAAGGGAACGTGAGAGACATTTATATGCAACTCCAACAGCCTGAAATCTCTGGATCCACTTAACTTTTCCATATGTAGCAAGCACTGAAGGTAACCTCTGTTCATAGATATATATTTGTTTATATACTGTGCATTGACTGTCATGTGACAGGTTTTAAGGAAATTCAAAAAAGTTCTTTTAACATCCTAAAAGAAATTACTTGACCCACAGATATATAGAGAGGGGGTAAAGCAAAGTCATTGTGCAGAACTACTAAAGCACAAAGCAGTAAACATATACTGTACAGATGGAATATAATATACACTATATTGCCAAAAATATTGGCACGCCTGCCTTCACGCGCACATGAACTTTAATGGCATCCCAGTCTTAGTCCGTAGGGGTCAAAATTGAGTTGGCCCACCCTTTGCAGCCATAACAGCTTCAACTCTTCTGGAAAGGCATCCACAAGGTTTAGGAGTGTGTCTAAGGGAATGTTTGACCATTCTTCCAGGAGCACATTTGTGAGGTCAGGTACTGATGTTGGACTAGAAGGCCTGGCTCGCAGTCTCCGCTCTAATTCATCCCAAAGGTGTTCTATCCGGTTGAGGTCAGGACTCTGTGCAGGCCAGTCATGTTCCTCCACCCCAAACTCGCTCATCCATGTCTTTATGGACCTTGCTTTGTGCACTGGTGCGCAGTCATGTTGGAACCGGACGGGGCCATCCCAAAATTGTTCCCACAAGGTTGGGAGCATGAAATTGTCCAAAATGTCTTGGTATGCTGATGCCTTAAGAGTTCCCTTCACTGGAACTAAGGGGCCAAGCCCAACCCCTGAAAAACAAAATTCATCCCAAAGGTGTTCTATGGGGTTGAGGTCAGGACTCTGTGCAGGCCAGTCATGTTCCTCCACCCCAAACTCGCTCATCCATGTCTTTATGGACCTTGCTTTGTGCACTGGTGCGCAGTCATGTTGGAACCGGACGGGGCCATCCCAAAATTGTTCCCACAAGGTTGGGAGCATGAAATTGTCCAAAATGTCTTGGTATGCTGATGCCTTAAGAGTTCCCTTCACTGGAACTAAGGGGCAGTGATGTAAGGATTGGATGTAGGTGCTCAGCCATGCAAACCATGAGGCTCTCTATGCACTGTTGTTGTGCCAATCTGAAGACCACACGAAGTTTGGAGGTCTGTAGCTATCGACTCTGCAGACAGTTGGCGACTTCTGCGCACTGTGCGCTTCAGCATGCGCTGACCCCGCTCTGTCATTTTACGTGGCCTACCACTTCATGGCTGAGTTGCTGTTGTTCCCAGTTGCTTCCACTTTGTTATAATACCACTAACAGTTGACCGTGGAATATTTAGTAGCAAGGACATTTCACAGATGGACTTCTTGCACAGGTGACAACCTATCACGGTACCACGCTTGAATTCACTGAGCTCCTGAGAGCGACCCATTCTTTCACAAATGTTTGTAGAAACAGTCTCCATGCCTAGGTGCTTAATTTTATGCACCTGAATCCAATAATTTGGAGGGGTGTCCCAATACTTTTGGCAATATTGTGTATATATATTTATACACACACACACACACACACACACACACTGTTATCAGTATTAAAAGACCATATTTTTTCAATACAATTTAAGCTATTAATGGGTTCCCTATAAAATTAAAAGGAGAACTATGACATGAGTGATTTCCACTCACCTCATAGTTCTAAGCCGACCTGTGACAATGAGACTGTCACAGGTCGGCTCAGTAGATCGGGAGGTGAGGGAACACATACCGGGTTCCCTCACCTCTCGATCCTGTCACGGCTCTCTGCCGTGACAGGGGGAGGGGCTGGATTCCCCTCTCCCCGCTCCGATCTGCCAGCGCTGACTGGCGGAACGGACGGGGGAGGGGGCGGGTACAGCTGGCTCTGCCTCTAGATAGGCAGAGCCAGCTGTCACTCACGCAGCTGGGCGGATCCCGTCATCTAAGTCGGGATCCGCTCCAGGTGCGGCGTCTCAGTATACCGCGAGCTGTAGCTCGCGGTATACTGAGCTTAGGGTAACGGGAGGACGCTAGTTTGTGTCCTCCCGTTACCCCAAGGAGAACTATGGGGAAAAACACTGACCCCATAGTTCTCCTTTAAGCCTGTGTAGAGCTTATTTTTACCTCTGTAATAAAAAAGGTATTACTGGCTATTTCATTTTGTGTCTTGGCATCATAGGTTTCCTTACTCCTAATTTTTATATAAAGAAATATTTGATCACAATGCATAAAAACTGTTTCCCAATATTGCACATCCTGATTTTAGTCTTGTAACACACTGCAGAGCGAAAATGTCATAACTTTACTTTAATAAAAGGACTTGAGTATAAACTCATGAAAGTGCATGCCAAGAGCACTGCCAGAAAAGGATAACAGTGCCAAGCCATTTTTTAAACAGAGAGTCAAGCTGACAAGAGGAATACAAACCTTGCTCTGTTTGAAGATTCTCTGATATTCTAAAGCAGTGCAGTTTACTGAAGTTGCGAGACTGTAAGCGAACACAGTTTGGTGGAAGTACCATGTTTCTTAATCTTCCAAACATGCACTCGTGGTTTAGGATTATATAACAAGCTGCATGTGCCTAAAAAGGGAACACAATTTGGGATGTATCAAAAGGAATTCAGAAAAGCAAATCTTACTAAGACATGTGTGATAGCACCTTACAAATGTGTGCTGTGGTTAAGAGTCAGGTTAAGGTGAGGGGTCAGTAACCATTAGTTTTTCGGCTACGATAACTTTTTTTTGGGTGTAATAAGTGTCAAAATAACATGCTGGTTAAAGTTATGCCAAAATCAGTGCTGAATTTGAAGGTGGCAAAACTCCAGTGCTAAAAACCAACGTACTACTAAAAGGACAAATGTCTGGTCAAAATGGCAGATGGTCTTGCCCTTGAATGCATTGCTGCAACACTAGGACCTTGCTGGCTCAGGTGGTATGTAAAGTCAGTGTGCGTATGAAACAGAAAAGTTCTTAAAAGAGAAAAAGAAAATCAGTGCCCACTTACATGGTGATTTTCCAAAAAGCTTGAAAACCTCTTTGTTTGACAATGACCACTTCTGGCAGTCAGAAGTGATGATCATCAGACTAAAAAAATTAAATACCGCCCTGGAGATGTCCGAATGATGTAACATATGCTCAAATCTATTGAGCCTATTAGGCCATATATGATGACAACCCATATACTCAGCTTAAAGAACAAGAGGATTTGTTTACCTTATATTATAGCTCTATATTCTTACATTGTATGGCACTGAAGAATATGATGGCTGTGCGTACACCAACAACAATAAAGTCCCACCATGCATTTGTTTATGGAAGCCTGGATTTACAGAACGGCAAAGTACAGCAGTACACTGCCACTTATAAGTGGGGTGCCCATGTTAGTAAAATGTATTGTGCTTAGGCAGTCTGTCTCTTATTCAGCTTTGTCACATGATTGTCTATCATTTTAAACAAAACAAAAAACATTCTATCACATAGGCTCTATTCATAAAGCTAACAAACGAGGAGGAAATGATCTTTTTCAAAAAAGTTTTCAGTTGAAAATAACGGCATTTGAAAATGACAGTCACATGGCTGGAAAACACAATGTTTATTTTTTATTTGTAGAGGTACTAGCACAGAGGTGCGTTTTTGTGGTCCTATACGTACATGTGGTTCCCACAAGTGGCACACGGTTTGAGGACATACACACAGGGGTTGGGGTATACCTGTGGCTCCCCACCCGTGATAACATCAGGGCGGATACAGGCCCGAGCACCAACAATTAATAGTGTTTTTATTTTTTATTTTTCATCTTTGAATTTTTATTTTTCATTTTTGTTTCTTTTTTTCATATGAATAGAAATTGTTTTTAACTTTTGCTTCTTATGTATTTAAAATACACGTCCCCATTATGCATCCCTTATCTAGTTGGGGTCATTTTAATGTTTTGTCATCAAGTACCCTTATTAAAATGTTTTTAAAATATGGATTTTTAACTTACAACTACTTGAACTTTCCTAGTCAAGCTCTCAGAGGGACAGGATAAGATGCTAAGTTTCTTTAGATAGACCACAACATCCCCATAGACATTCTCCTGCTAATACTGTTCATCCGACAAAAAGATATAACCTGTCTCATGACAAAACATGTTGCATTAGCCTGATGGACGGAATTCTCCAATAATTGGACGAGGCTACGATATAAGTTCCTCCCCTCGTTCGAGTAACAACCTATCACAAGGTGAATCCATTACCTACTCCTCCCCCTTGTCAGTTTTTAAAACAGACCGGTTTCCCGCGATCTGCTCGATCTTGTGGCTTGACAAAGAGGAATTTCCTCGAAACGCGTAGCCTTTTACCCACTGTGCACTTCTACCCCCCGTTTAGTCCTCCGCGACTTTCGTTGTCAGCGAGACCACCGGACACCCCGAGACAGCAGCCTGACTACATTGCCAATACATACGGCACCAGGCGCTTCAGCGCTGTTCGCGGCTCCTCGCTCTCTCCCTCACACTCTCCCTATCCCAGCCGTCGCGGCCCGGCCTGGCCAGCCGAGTACGTGGGCTGGTTCCCCACCGCAGACATGTTCTAGACCAGCTCAACATTGACTATTGGAGGGAACCAGCTATTCAGATTAACCCCTTTCCAGCCACTCACCTCTCACCTGCCAGCTAGAAGGACCTGACCAACAGATCCTGAAGAGGAGATCAGGAGAGATTTTGGCCAGATTCTCCCACATCCCAACTGTAAGTCTACATCCTTTCCATTCTTAAGACTGGTTTTCTATATTTAGGTGACACACACAGGATTCAATATCACTGTACGAGCATTGTTCAAAAAAGTGATTGCAGGTAGTAGCGCTCCTCCAAAAAAGATTTTGTAGTCACATGGCTGGAGTGCCTTAGGCTGCTGTTAAAGTGTATTTCTACTTTTGTAGCTGAATTGCCATATCACCTACCTTATATTTGTGACATAGTCCCAATCACATTGCCCCGACTTTAAAAAAAGTGTTTTTTACTTGCTAATACATGTTACCTAGCTTCCCCCCTAATGCTGAAGGGGGGACTCAAGGGGGTTGTTGGAAGTTTTATTTACTATAATTAACCCTGTCTTCACTGTGCTGGCAGATTTTATCAGTTGTAAACTAGATTTAAACACTGTCCTACAATAGGGTTAAATTAGAAACATTGTAAGCTCATTCTGACCCTCAGTTAGTTCCTCTACTTACACTTTCAAACTGCTCAGAGTAGCCTGGAATCTGCACAAATGCCTTTACCAAAGAAATCTCTAGAGTCTAGACCAGGGGTAGCCAAACTCCGGCCCTCCAGCTGTGGTGGAACTACAAATCCCATGAGGCATTGCAAGATTCTCACAGATATGACTCCCGTAGAGAGATGCATCATGGGATTTGTAGTTTCACCACAGCTGGAGGGCCAGAGTTTGGCTACCCTTGGTCTAGACGGTAAGAAATGCATTTTTCAATACTATAATTTTTTTATGCTGTGTGAAAATTAGAACAACAGAGCAAGTTTTTTTTCAAATTTGATGGCAAATGAGGAAATATGCTTTAACTCTGAATAAGCTCAATTTACAGTGCTAAAAGAAGAAGATAAGGATCTTTAAAAAGTGACAGTAATTTTCAGCTGAGTCCAATGAGAGTACAAATTACAGTCACATGGCTGAAATAAAAATCCTTATCCTTCTGTTAAAGATTTTCGAATGGAGCATAAAATATAAGTCTTTTAAATGCTGTGTAAACCCCAACAATGAACTTTTCTTATTTGGTCCCTTTTGGCCTGGTAAATATCAAATTTAAAATTAAGAATGTTTTATATCTGTTTGATAAGTGTAAAAAATTACTTGTTGATCTTGCCAGACATCTTGTCAGCTAACTTTTCTGTGCTGCACTGATATCAGTTACATTATTCCCAGCTCTCTCTGAGAACTACATAACCCTGACCCACTACTTTATGGAGAAGAGGAGGGGAATGTGTCAGTAGTCCAGTTTTGTTGTCCTGATACAGTAGACTGAGTGGGTGTTGTCATCCTAGGACAGGAATTGTGTTACTGGCAAAATCATCAGGTGAAAATAAAGAAAAAAATGCCTGGGGGAAAAAAACAAAACACCACACTAACGCAGCCACTGGTTAGCTGCAATACATTTCATGATTTGTTTCTTAGATACGCTTTAATTTTATCTGTGGTCAAAGAAAGTAGGATGATAGAACTAGCCTACAGAGAGTACATAAATTAACTCCAACTTACACATGTTCAGTTTAATAAAACAGCTATACCTATGCATAGCAGATATATAGGCTATTATATATACCTGAATACCACACCATTCACATCTCATGCCAGAAAGGACTTCAGAAGATCCACACGTTTTCTTGCAGACTTCACAACGAGCATTTGAAGACAAATTTCCCTCTCGCCAGTGATGGTGGTATGTATCCTGAGGCACAAAAAAGAAGCACCGTAACAGTAAAAATAAAAACGGTTGTACAGGCCGGTTGTGTACAAGCAGGTGATGCCAAAGGGCAAGGGACATGATGGTTTCATTTCTTGCATAAATTAAAGATGTTCCATTCATACATTCCTATATGTGGAAAAGATCCCAATGAAAGTTGTCCTCTGTGGAGGGTCATGGAATCCTTTATAAGTACAAGAATAATGCAGATACAGCACTAGTGATAAATATTCACTGATAAATGTAAACATGTATTTCAGAAATCCAATAACATTTGCGAATTTGGCTCTAGGCATTATTCTCTGCAACATTTAAACATCAAATACAATACCCAACAATCTGATTGTATAATCCCTTTAAATCTACCAATAACTATGTAGTGCAAGGGCCAGCATTATTGGATACAAATTGGTCGGATAGACAAGGTAGGTCATGTTGTTATTACATTGGTAAATCCAAACTTTATTGTATAAAGATTGAGAAGATTATAATACATACGGTGAGTCTAAAGGTGCCCATACACTGTACGATTCTCGTACGAGAATCGCGGGAAATCCCGCGATCGTACGAGAATCGTACAGTGTATGGAAGGCGTGCGACCGTTTCTACTGTACGGTTGCACGTCTTTTGTCGAACCAACATGCTCGAAAACCCGCCGAGAATCGTACGATTGTCGGCGGGTTTCTAGCCTGCTCGTCCGATAGCTGCGGAACGGGCCGGGGTGCGCCCCCGCACATTGCCCGTTCTGCATTGCCGTCATCGGAAAGGGCAAGGGACATGATGGTTTCATTTCTTGCATAAATTAAAGATGTTCCATTCATACATTCCTATATGTGGAAAAGATCCCAATGAAAGTTGTCCTCTGTGGAGGGTCATGGAATCCTTTATAAGTACAAGAATAATGCAGATACAGCACTAGTGATAAATATTCACTGATAAATGTAAACATGTATTTCAGAAATCCAATAACATTTGCGAATTTGGCTCTAGGCATTATTCTCTGCAACATTTAAACATCAAATACAATACCCAACAATCTGATTGTATAATCCCTTTAAATCTACCAATAACTATGTAGTGCAAGGGCCAGCATTATTGGATACAAATTGGTCGGATAGACAAGGTAGGTCATGTTGTTATTACATTGGTAAATCCAAACTTTATTGTATAAAGATTGAGAAGATTATAATACATACGGTGAGTCTAAAGGTGCCCATACACTGTACGATTCTCGTACGAGAATCGCGGGAAATCCCGCGATCGTACGAGAATCGTACAGTGTATGGAAGGCGTGCAACCGTTTCTACTGTACGGTTGCACGTCTTTTGTCGAACCAACATGCTCGAAAACCCGCCGAGAATCGTACGATTGTCGGCGGGTTTCTAGCCTGCTCGTCCGATAGCTGCGGAACGGGCCGGTGTGCGCACGCGCACACTGCCCGTTCTGCATTGCGGTCATCGGAAGCCCGCCCCTCAGCGGGGTGGGCTTTCAATGATCGCAAGTGCGATCTGCCCGTCCAAGGTGGGCAGATCGTACAAGCTTTCAATAAGCATACGACCATCGCAAGACAAAAGTCTTGTGATGGTCGTAAGGTGTATGGGCACCTTTACAGTTTTGTCTGTTTACTATTCTTTTATTCATTCACTCATTTATGCAGTGTGGTATAGAGTACTGCAGCTCCATCTGATTTCTACATGTACTTCCATTAAACGTATGTATAACATCTAACAAGTGAATGCCTTACAATACCTGTTTTTTAATGGAATTCAATGGAAAAAAGAAATCATGTACATACAAGCACATTATGAATAAATAAGGACCACAAAAGCACTCTTTGCACCACTTTACTGTATGTGCTTACGTTCATGGCCTAATTAAACAATACAATAGGCGCTTATAGTTGTTCACATTTTCTATTTTACTTTTCCCTGAATTTAAATGGGCTTCCAATTTCATCCCACTGTTGTTAATACTACCTTGGCTATTATTGTCAAAAGGGTTCCATAACACAACACCATAACTTTAGAAAATCTGAAACCTTTTCTAAAAGACAAAGCATACTATTTCTGCTGTAACTATGCTTCTAACTCCAATGTAACTTTAAAACAATGTTATAATTTTCCTTTGTTTGTGGCCAAAGGCCACTCCTCTACATGCCACTGCTTAGTATGTCTAAACCAAACTCTTAATACTTTTTTTTTGAGGAAATGCAATTGGATACATTAATTATGTCAGCAGCTCTTCATTTGAAAATATCTTACCTTTTCACAGTATCAGAATTTCCTTTAGTTGTAATGCATTAAAAATATCTGCTCTAAAATACAGCCTGTCAATGTTTTATTTAATAATCTTAATACACTTACATTGCCCTGCTGTCCATCGTGGTGGCACTGTCGACAGTCGCTGCAGGCGAAAAGGACACAATCTGCATGCACATGGAGCTCACAAACTAGAAAACAAAAAGAAGTAAACATTATATACTATAAAAAAGAACATCAGAAAACACACACACAAAACAAAATAAATTATATATATATATTTTTTTTATACACACATATGTACATATACACACACTCCGTTCCAATATCCAGTATCCAATTATATTTAGTAAAAGTAATATTACTACCAGTAATGATAATCCTGTAAGTATGTCAAAGTGATGCCAAATACTTCCTAGGGTTTACAGAAAAGTAGGGCTGAAACAACTAAGATCAATTATAAATCGATGAGAATTGCTGGCAACGATTCTCATCATCGATTAGTTGCTTTCGATTAGTTGCTGCTGCTCTGCTCCTCCATTCTCCTCTCCACTGGTGCTGGCTGCAGTGGTCTGTGCCCCTTTCAATCCCTGCTGCTCTCCTTGCCTGTATTGGCAGAGGCAGCGGTGACACAGACCACTGTAGCCGGCACCAGCGGAGAGGAGAGACCGTTATGACTCTGCAATCTAAGGGATTGATAGAACACTGGCGTCAAGTCTCCAATCAGCGGCTGGAAACCATAGAGAGCCTGTTTTTGGATATTTTAAATTGCATTAGCCAATATCAGGCTGGCTATTGCACCCGCCCACTGAAAAATACTTAGATACACATAGGACTTAGATTCAAATATAATTTGGTTTAAGAGGAATAAAAGAATTGGCCCATGATTTAACATGCATGACCTCGTGATTGCATAAATGGGACTTTGGAATAGACAGACATCCATTTTGTCTTTGTCCTTGAAAATCTGAGAGCAATTATTATTATTATACAGGATTTATATAGCGCCAATAGTTTGCACAGCGCAAATGTCAAAACACGAGTTTAAATTAGTGTGAACAGCCGTTAGGAATGTCCAAAGAGTAGACTTGTGCCCTTTAAAATAGGATTGAAGGATGCAAAGAGTATTTGTAGGAATATAGATGTGGAATAGACTTCAGGAACCACAAACTGAAATATTTTTGAACTATATTTTAATTATCTGTTTTATTTATTTTTGTAACATCATTGTATACTATTAGCTTTATGCTATATAATAAAGTCCCTTCAAGTTTTCATTCAGCTGGACACTTTTCTGAAGATTTTAAAATCACCTTAAGACTCTTATAAATATAAGTGCTATTCAAGAAAAATATCTAACACCCACTGCCTGCTGTCAATCAGCAGAGGAGGACCTGATGGAGAACTTTCTGATTGACAGCAGGCGTAATAGCCAGCCTGCTATTGCAATTTAAAATAACCAATAACAGGCTGGCTATTGCTCCCAGTCACTGCCTACTGAGTTGACATTCAGCTGCCTCAGCAGCTGAATCCAGTAAAGTGGAAAGGTGACACTAGTGGAAAGGTGTCACCTTAAAGAGATCCTGTCACCTCCAATGTGCTATAAGATATGGGGCTTGTGAGCCGCCCGCCCCACCCACTGCCCCCTCCTATGTGATAGCAGTAATGTAAAAAATGTAATAAACCCTCCCCTCCCCAAATGCGCGTATACTAACAGAAACACACGTCGGGTGCGCCTACAAAAAAAACCAAACGATTGCGCTACACATGTCAGGTAGCGCAGCATATTTTATTTTCAATTAAGGATGTTTGGGTTTTTTTATCCACCTAATCGATTAATCAACATTAAAAATCGACTAACTAATCGATTATGAAAATAACCACTAGCTGAAGCCCTACTGAAAAGTATGTATTCCATCTTTTAGATATGACTCCTTGTATTAGATTAATTCCGCATACTAATACTTAAAATGGGCAGCTTTACAACATAAGAAAATAAAGAGCCTCATTCACAATCACACAATACTACAGACCTTCATTGATGGTAAAGAAGGCATAACACAAATAAGAACTAATGGTATGGTTTTTTTTTTTTTTCACCAGGACCATTTTGTTTTTTCCTTTATTGCTGTGGTTTAATGATTGTGTTTTTTTGTGATGCCTAATGGTTAAAATACAAATCACAATAAAAATAAAATGTGTGGTAAGATACCATATTTTCTTTTTACAAATTTTACAAATTCTGGCAGGGGATTGGAAGCTTATGGGCAAAACCATATACAGTATATACTGTATATATACTGAATGCAGAAGGTAAAAAAAGTACCTTTACAACCAGCCAAATATGCTAGAGTTTAATAACATATAAAGCAAATAGTAGGAATCAATCCATAATAACCAAATTGCATTTAACATTTACTAATCTATAAATCAGAATAAAGATACACTTCCCATACCAAGCCTATAAAGGTTTGGGTCGGTTCCAGCAGAATGATTGCCTGTCACCTACCCGAGACACCAAAGTCAATAACAAGTGTGTCTTTCTCTTAGCAGGACTCCCAAAAATGTGTTTATTCTATATCTTGTAGACTCAATTAACCACTTCACTGCTACCGATGTAAGGAATACAGCAAAACAGAACCGTTTGCAGTTGGCCAGCTCAGTATCCCTTATGTGACATAGTTACATAGTATTTGAGGTTGAATAAAGACATATGTCCATCAAGTCCAACCTATTTGTGTGTGTGGTCCTATTGGTGAGTAGTATGCATAGGTCCCTGTGTGTTCTCAATTTTAAGAGTACTTGTACCCCTGTATTTTACGTTCCCTGAGGAAATCGTCCAGTTGCATCTTGTCAGCTGCATTCTCTACTCTGTTATAAGCTCATGGAAACTTCAGCAAGCATGAACTTATAAGTAGAACTGCCTCACTGAAAGAGCCGAGTAAATGCATAGCTATGATCAGACCCCTGATATTTCACTAAAGCCCCAATAGTAAAAAAAAAAATAATCAATGAAAAAAATCTGTTTACATCGGTGCAATGCGGGAACATGTACATTTCACAAGTTTCCACAGCACAATAAAAACAGGTATTGTTCTTGTTGGTGCACTGTGGTGCCATTCATTCTTTATGGCAACCCAATGCACCTTGTTAGGACATGTGCCTTGCAGCACACCACAATACAGGGTAACTAATTACCATGCGTTGCAATGCACTGCATTTGTTTTTTGTTTTTAAAAGGTACAATTGGTGCACTTGGTGAGATTTCTCTTGGGCAGCCCATTCAAATGAATGCAACCACAGCAAATAAATGTGTACTGTGGGGGTATAGCTCGAATGGGGGGATCACCTTCCCTGGGAAAAATAGTCCAGGCAGCAAAGTTCTTTTTCTCTGTGAACACATCCAACATGTAGCTCTCTCAGAAGCCTGTCTGAGTCCCAGGCCAGAGCAAAACCATGTCTCAGCCTTTCCCTTTTATCTCACCTGGACAAGCACTCATCAAGCAATCAACTATCCAGGTGAGACACAAAGCCCGAGCTGGACTATCCAGACCCAAAGTCAAAGCGAAACCCTGGTCAGGGTTCCGCTATTCATGCACATAGGATAGAAAGCGAGGGGAAACATACCGCTCCTCAATGATGTCCCCTCTCCTTATGTCACAGTACCTAGACCTAGACTTGAAGTCTTGTTACTAATTAAAAAAACTATTTGAAATATCACTATGTTCCAATTATTTATAATCTTTTCTACGGGTACCAACAAATCTGTTAAGACCATTTTAGAATATCCTTGTAGAATAAGCAATAATTAGCAGCCTTTTCACACTTTTGCTTGTCTTGGCAGGGAGAGATTTCTACCCTGGGCCGCACAGAAAATGGCCTAGGGCACCATTGCCACTGATGAATCCAGTGTCCTGGATTCTGCAGGACATCCCTATAGGATCCAGGACATTTGAAACCTTTTGTCACCCACATTCTGCAGACTGGTAGCGGGTGTCCTGTGAAGGAATACTAGGGGGTGTTGGAAAATCAATGCCTCCCCGGATGCACAGCAAATACTTGAAAGTGTGGAAAGAAAGTGCTGGGCCAGTGTGGTTACTTGCTTAGTGTTTTTCATCCAGCAATAGTTAATTGAATATGTCTGATCTGGCTAAATTTTGAAATTGAATTTTAGACCGTGAGATAGCATTCCATAACTTCATGTGGGCAAGAGGTTGCTGGTATATAGAATGTATGAATCCAAATATATCCACTATAAGTAGCAAACGCTTTGTTGTGTGGAATGGGTAACTGTATTGAGAGAAATGTAGAGGGGGGCGTGGCGAGCTGCCGAGGAAGATGACCGCGGTCTAACGGAGCTCCGCAATACCCGATCCCCAGAGAGCTATCTATAGCTCACAGAAGCACCCTGAGCGGCACCAGTGCAGCTGTCTCTCATCCCTGACACCAGGGACCCTGCGAGGGGGATATGAGGAGGCAGAGTAAGCGGCAGAAAGACGCAAGGAAGCTACAACTGCAGAGACGGGGCAGTCCAAGATGGCGGCCACACGAGGCACTCCGGAGCACTCTGCATCACCGCTCCTCCTTCCAGACAAACAGGACTCCTCGTCCCTGGACAGTCTCCACATGACCCAGGGGGAAGAACCAGACGATTCCAGAGATGCAAACCTCCTACAAAAAATCCAAGCTATGCTACATATTGAGCTGACGGCGACCTCTGAGAAGCTCACTGCGGCCCTGACCAAGGAGATCAGAGAAATAGGTATGCGTACAGACCTCCTTGAGAAAAAGATGGATGATGTTGTCACTGTCGTTGAATCTCACGAGCAAGATCTAGACTCGGTCAACACTGATCTGATCGCCATTATGGATAAGGTGGAAGACATGGAGAATAGGGCCCGCCGTGGCAATCTCCGCTTCCGTGGTAGACTTGCAATCCACAATTACTGCATTGCTACATGAACTTATCCCGTCCACACCGATTGACCGTCTAGAGTTTGATCGGATCCATAGGGCTCTGAACCCGAAACGGCCGGAAGGCCCCCGAGAGACATAATTGTGAAATTCACCTTTTATCGTATAAAGGAGGCTGTCCTGCACGCCACCCGGAACAAGAAAGACCTACATTTCCAAGGACATGCGTTCCAAGTATTCGCTGATCTCTCGCCTACCACCATACAGCGTCGGAGAG